ACGTCTTTCGCCAATAACGCCACACCATACCTTCGAGCCGGAAATTTTATATGTTGTATACGATATTATTATAAAGCAGTAACAAGAGATTCCTAACACCTCGCTTAATCACCTCTTATCACATAAATGAGACCAGACAAATTTTCTTTAGATGTCCACAGGTGCATTAGAATTTCTAAACACAACTTTAACGTAATCAGCAAAAATATTATATACAATAACTTTTAATAAAAATACCAGGAAGCTAAAAGCTTTTTCCTTTACAATGAAAATAACTTCACTTCCTTCAGTGTCGATAACGTCACGTCCAAGTTCTTTAGAATTTGTCCTACTTTCATAAGAGGTCACAAAGGTCTTCCCGGATTTTCTACATCAAATATATTTCAATAATTTCAAACCACAAAATGATACACATTTTTGGAATTATTAGTTCGATATTTTTAAATCGATGTAACTCACTCACCACATGAGGCTCACGATGGCTAATTATGAGAATGTCATAATAAGGGAACATTCATAATTATAATAAAAAATTAGTAAATATAATTAAATGACGAGTTACATCAATATTCTATACTTGTAGGTATTGAATAGATACATATACCTAGGTATTGTATTATTTTTTTCTGATCAATACATGACATGTAGAATACATTCACCGTGTAGAGACCGTATAAGAATATAAACTCTTCCATACAGTGCTGTGAATATCGTAAGAAACAACGGAGGAATAGATGAGGTAGGCAGCATTATCTTCCTCATAACAAATTAAAATAAATATATGTGAAGAATCGACGCTCCGGGAAGTCTGCAGTCTGTGAACACGTACAGGATCGCCCCCGTCACTACATCAGATTTGATAGACCGCAAATCCTCGCTAAAGAACACCGATTCCTTCCAAGGATGATTCGCGAGGCTATTGAAATCAAAAAACATCCTAATTTCAATAGAGAAGATGGCTGGGTGCTACCATCTGCTTGGGATCCTATAATAAATAAAATTAAATCCCAACCCAAGCATACAACTGCAAGACTTCAAGATACCATAAGTTCATACTGCATAGATCGGAACAAAAGTTAAATTTTAATCTATGGTAACCGCGGTTAACTATGACATATGGACGTTGAACATCTCAGTCCCGCCCGTGACCTTGAGTGCTGTAAAGCGTTCGAAACGTCGGGTATTTAAAAGTTACATATACGCGATAAATTCCGTAAAAACTAGTATTATTTCAATAAAATAAATAAAACCTGCGGTTTTCAACTATTTGCTAAGGGAAGCAATTATGCCAAATATCCTCCGAAGGAGGATAGAAGGCTCAGATCATGATCTGAGATAGAAGGCTATCTATAGAACAGGCCTATGTTCAGCTGTAAACTTATGATAGGGTGGATGAATGAACTTTTGATGCCTAATGGTTACTCATAATGGTAATGACAATTTATGACATTAGCGATACACAGGGTAGAGAATAAGTAAAAATAAGTCCCTCCTTTTTTGCGCACACTTGTAGCGCCACTATTATGTCATCAGCAATTAATAGCTTCATAAGTTATCCAAAAGTAGTCAATGTGGCACAGATCATATATAGTAACTACGTCAGCCGTATTATTGAAAACTTCAAAAAGAATCCACTTACTTGATTGATTCGCTAGCTGTGCCTCTAAGCTCTTTATTATATTCTGATACTCCTTCAGTTGCTTATGTTGCTTCTGACATAATTCCGCCATACGTTTTAATTCAGTCCGCGCTTTGTAGAACTTTTTTGTCTGCATAGAATAATAAAAAAGATGTTTACTTAAATTTTCTTAGATTGTTTTAATTATAAAACAATCTAAGAAATAGAGAAATAGAGAATTATCTAAAATGGAAAACGAACTTAGAGTCGACCTGATGGTTATTAGCCACTGCAATGTATGTACACAGCAGCCAACTTAAGGATTCAAGATGCATTGCCACCTCTGAAAACTGAGATGGAATGCCTCATAGCCAGTAATAATACTGGCTTTCTGTACTCTCCAGACCGGAATTAACCACCAATGATTGCAAACATAGCTACAACAGCTTGGACTATGTTCTTGCTTAGGGACGTTACCTGTGATGAATTTGAACTTTGGTGGCAATAAGAACGATTTATGTTTACGATTTGGCAGTAAGCGTATACGTAGTGAAAGTTCCATAGCAACAGTTACAGAAACAAGACAGGAGTATATCGAAGCTTGCCATTACAAACTATTAAATTTCGCTGTTGAATATATGCTTCTCCCATTAATTACCTCATATGTGGGATATTTGACGTAGTTGAAACGCTTAGCCGTGGAGTTGGCAATCCTAGTTTTTTTTCGATTTTAGGAAGACTTTTTTTGTTATTTACGTGGTAGAGCCGCGCTGCAGCTATATTAGTTGTAGCACAAATGGGTCAACTCAACCGAGGAAGGACCACGCTCTCACATAATACCAGCGTTAAAAACTAGCAGCTAAAGGCTGTTGTGTTTCGTATGATGAGTGTAGAGAATCGAAGACCCTTTTTTACTGGAAACTAGGCATTCCATCTTAGTCCTCATGGATGACGGCGCATCTGCGTTTTGATTTTTATTCGAGGTTAAATGTAGATGTCTACAAGTCACAGGTTCCACTTACCATTAGGTGGACTGGGCGCTCGTTTGTTATTCTTATTCTATAAAAAAGACGCTGCTTCCCATCTCCTGGTTTGTTTTCCCCTGTCGCCTACTCAAAGTTATAGTTATTTCAAAGGAACAGAAAAAAAGAACAAATTCTAACTTTACCTATTATAGTACACTTCTAATTGGAAGTTGTAAAACTCCAATCCGTCATCAAAGAGAATCCTTATGGAAAATGTACATTTTTATTTGTTTACTTTCGGCAAATTTTCTCAGAAGCGTTTCTGAACTTCTAAGTAGTTTTATAAGCGAAGTTTGATGTTGAATTTCTAAACAATGCTGATACTTTCAGGGCGCTATTTAATATACTTAAAAAGACTTTCAAACTTCCTTCTTACGAAGAAATCAAATAAGTTTTAACTTTTTAAGTTAATTGTACCTACTAAAGATAGAAAGCGTTTACTTGCAAGAAAGGTTTCTTAGGCAGGCTGTTGAACGTTGCCTAAATAATGTTCCGAAAAGTATGAAGTTTATGATAGGACTGATGACACCATCAGTTTTGCCGTGAAGTGCTGGCGTTGGGGATCCACCTCCCTATTGCGTCAGTGAGTGTCATAAGAAACAATTATGTGAAATGCCAGGAAGATCTCCCGGCGTTTATAGATGACGGTGGAACCATCATGCTTAATACTGAGATCGGTGACGGGAAACAGCTTCAAAGTTGCAAGATTCTCATGAGCCAATGTCTAAGTGAGAGATAGCCAATCCACCGGCAAAGCATGTCGATCAAGGCAAATCGTTCCTACAACCAGAGGTGATCAGCAGTGGACATCATTAATAAATTATTTTAGATCCAATAATTTTAGTGACATAATACAACGAAGAAAATTTACTGCCATATCTCGTGGGTGTCGTAAGAGGCGACAGATGGAAATGATACATAAGATAAGCCGCATGCAGCATATTTCTGATAACAGCTTAAAATTATTAAAAAAAACAGCACCCGTAGGCCAAGCGTGGCAACTATGGCGAAATCCCCTCTATGGATACTAAAATGTCTGTCGTACGCAATCATGTTCAGCTATGGACTTTAAAAAATATATGAATGAATACAATTTGAATTTGTTACGTTCTGTAGTATCTTAAAATTTAATCGAATTTCCGCTTTAAGTTAAAGTACCCCGGTTGACCGAGCTTTGCTCGGTATTTTTCGCTCGATTTCTTTTAATTCATGTGTTTTGGATATTATATTTAGATACAAATTACATACTGATGAAATACGAATAATATTTTTTGATCTTAGCGACATAATGGAAAAAACTGAACTGGTTATTTGAATAAAAAATCATGAGTGCAATTAGTTTAATTTAAATTTACGTGTTTTTAAAAAATACTAAAAAAAGGGCTCGAAAAAATAGATTTTCTCAAAAAAGAAAGGAACTTGAAAAAATATTCGGTCGGTCGGTCTGGGCTCGAACCATGGTACTACGGTTTTGTGACCGCCCAATATTCCAATTAAGCTATTTCTAATCATTAATAAACTGTCAAAATTTACCTTCTTATTCTAACGATATTGTAGCAGTTTTTCATTGCCTAAAAACACGGACAAAAAGACATTTTCTAAAAATAAATCCTAGCTAGATCAATTTATTGCCCCCGAAACTCCCTGCACACAAAATTTTATGAAAATCGTTGGAGCCGTTTCCGAGATTCCGATTATATATATACAAGAATTGCTCGTTTAAATGTATAGGATTAGAACTTCAGCCGACTTTGAAAACAGAACACGGCATTCTATTCGATTGTATGTTATTTTTTAAACTCAAACTCAAACATTTATTACTAAAACATAATGTACATAAGATGTTAGAAAATAATGTGAGACCAGTGTTATGGATCCTGTTGGGCACACAATTTAGGGGCTAGGAGTAAGGAAGCGTATTTAACTAATTATAAGAATGTCATGTGGTTTATTGAAATATAATTAAATTTAGGATTTATGTATGTATTTAGGATTAGGATGTTCTCCTGTATCGTAGAAACAGTTTACATAAATAAATTTCACAAGGACAAACATCCAGACCAAGAACAATTATTATACAAATACTCGTTCCGTGCGGGATTCGAACCCGCTTCCCCTAGCGCCGCAAATCATTGCTAAGCCACTGCGCCACGGCGCCGTCGGAATAAATTCCGTCACCGTAATAAATTCTACCCCAAAAGGATTGACGCAAAAGAATCAATATCCTTAGGGGCTTTGCTATTGTTATGAATACTATATCTTAGCACCGACTTTATGTCATCCCTGAAGACTAAGATCGATGGTTACTAGTAAAAACGGTCTCCGGCTCTCTACAACTCAACATGCGAAACTTAGGATAATTACGCTGATATTTCGAGTTGGTATTCTGTGAAAGCGTGATGCTTTTCCGGTCCAACCTATTCGTGCTGCAACCATAATATAGCTGCAGCGAGGTTCCACCACGTAAAAAAGTATTCGTACCACCAAACCATACCTAATTTTACCATTTTTTGTTTTTGCTAACTTTGATTTTTGTATCCCTTATTAGTTTTCTACTGTAGTACGAAGTACTTTTTTATATTATTTTTATGTCATTTCTCAATTAAAACATTACCGGCACTTCATATTTGCAAAACAGACAACATTAAGTGCACTCGATATATTACATGATTTTCCCCTAGAAGGAGTAGGGTATTATTTGAAAGGTCATTTAAGTAGGTAGGTAACCTGAACCTCCCCCTTCCTCGGCTTAAATAAAATAATACACCAAATAAACTGAGGGAAAACTGAAAAATAGTTACTTATATATACATTTTAAATTGTACATAGCCTGCACCATTTCAACTATTATATATTTTAAAATTTTACACTTTTTTTACTGCCTTTTGTCCTTTTAAAAGTACTGGATCTAATTTTACCAAAACTAGACTCCGAATGTTTGCGCAAAGTTAATTTCGTAAGCGTAATTAACTTTCGAACAATATAATCGAATAAAACCCCCGTTGAGGCCCCAATAGCAGATGAGCCGCGTTTGTTTAATATTTTAATGAAATTTGTCAACGTTTACGTATTAAATTATAAATTATAGGTTAACTACCCACGTACATATATATTTATTAATATATTTAGGTGTTGGGTTATCAATGTGTACACAAAAATAAGAATGTGCCACTAATGAGAGTGCTAGACAATGCGCGGTGAAAAAATATGTAACCAAATATGACACACAATAGATAAGTTCTACGGGTTCGAGGCCCGCTGTCATCGATGAAATTATTAATTAAAATTTTCTAGTTTTTTCTTTTTTAAAGTTCTTCAAGCTCCTACTTTAGCTTAATAATCCTGGAGTATGTTGCTTACTATGGTTCTACAGCGGATATCCTCATTTTTAAGTCTATCACGCAAAGAAACCCCAGCATAGACGCACTTAAATACATATCAGAACTTACAATAATATAATTTAAAAAAAAATTAAAATGATATATTAGTACATTAATTACTCGAACTGTCCTAAAAAAATATAGAAGCGTCTTATTATGTATTACGTTGCTGCTATAGTTATTTTATAAATGGATTGTCAGTAGCTGTTCTATATACAGAAGAGGAACCTGCATGGACGAGAGGAAACCTGCATGTGTGTGAATACGAAGTCCGCCAACAGTCGCGCTACTCCAGTGCAGCGCGACGGACAAATTGCTCCAGCAATATCTTAGAAATGAGACCTATGCTGATCAGTGGAACGTTACAGGCTGTAAACCCACTTTTTACTTTTATTAAGCTACTATGTATAAAAGTTCGATTGTCGGTGACAGCACCACTAAAACTTACGTTAACTTTTACCTTATGCTCGTCAGTGATGGAAACATAATGAAAACACCTACATATCCGAAAACTAATCAAGATTACAATAAGAACTCTACTATGAGAATAGGCCTGTGCCCAGCGCTGGTACATTTATCTTTCATAGGTATAGTTAGCATACATAGACAATTAATCGACTGAAAACTATATCTTTTTTCCGTCATGTTGATTTACGATTAGGCGACAATTTCTAAATACTGTCAGAAGATATGTATAACAGAGGTTTAATAGAGGTAATAGTAATATATTAATGTCTGTTAGTTTTTGCTCTTGTGGCTGTACCCATAGCTTTCATCACACTACCAAAGGTTAGCTTGCAGAGAATGCCTTTTCAGTATTAAGTATCGCCTATGTACCAATTTTTTTAGTGCAATAAATAATTTTCTATCTATCTAAAACTTCACAGTGAGTGCTGTAACACATAAGCACATTCAAATAAGATAACTTCGCAAAGGGCAACGACGAAGAAGCCTACCTATCCGTGCTTATGTACGAGTACAAAGTAACGTCAGGATCAAGACTGCTGCTTCTGCCTCCAAAAACCGGCGATATAAATATTTTGCAAATATGATATACCTAGACAAAATAATACTCGCAAAATCATCTAACAATCATGACGATTGCGGTAAATCCTCCCAGCAGTGGGAGTGGGCCGTATACAGCATTGAACCGCTGCGGCCTTATGAAAAAAAAGCATCGTACTACGGATTAAATTAAAACAAAATGTTTCTATGAATATTAAGTCAAATATATATTATAATTTTTATTTATTTTTTATTTTATAAAAAAACGTTATCCCCACACTGAGATTTCATCCTGTATCGTGGAGGCAGTTGACAAACAAAAATTGCACAAAGACAAACATTCAGACCCGGAACAATTATTTGTAAGCCATATAAATACTTGTTCCGTGCGGGATTCGAACCCGTTAATATAATCGATTCGATATTATAATTATATAATATATAACAATATTTAATTATACTTGCAATTTTCAGTTTCATACAGTTGAAACTAGTACGGCTTAGTTTTTACTTAGAATTAAATTCTATAAATTTTCGTATTTAAAATAAGTCTTTTACATCAAAAAAATTCCACAATTATTATTAAGTTGAATTACAGCCTGCATACGTCCCACAACTGGACACAGACCTCCGCTCATTGCTGAGAGAGTTTTAGGTTCAAGGAAATGTCCGCCGCGCTACCCCAATACGTATTGGCGAACTTCATCATGTCTCCGAAATATTTTATTTTCTAATATCTCAGACATGCCCGTTTCTTCATGATGTTTTCCTTCACCGCCAAGCACGTGGTAAATCAACACTTAAAATTGCAATTAACAATTTCATACGTTATCATTGAAGATGAATATTTCATTTAATAAAAACGTACTTAGACCAAAATTAATATACCATGCGACTCTAAATGCTCCCAAAAATTAAATATCTATTAAAATGGTTGTCAGAAATGTATAACTCAAATACAAACAAAATATTTTTCTCACCGATTGTAATAAATACGATAACAACCGCCTTCTGTGCTGTCTCTGAAATTGAAGCACTTCACAGGACTTTCTGATTATTTCTTCTGGATCAGTAAAGTAGTCTTGTACCTCGGAATTCATCTAAAATTTAAACAGTTTTAAAGTTTAACAAAAAATATGAATAATTACTTAATTATTTCAATATTATCTTATACTTACGTCGGGAACTAGTTTCATAGTGGAACAAGGCACTCGACATACGAAACAAGTACTTTGTTTCGCACCTATAAATAAACAAAATTCTGAGATTTATCAATTGTTAAATAAAATAGGAATTATAAATTAAGTAAACGAACCATCGTCCAAGCAGTTGTTGCAAAACATATGACCACATGATGTTAAATGTAAAACAATTCCTTGTTCTAACTGTATGAAACATTTGTTACAATGTATCCAATCCATTTTACTTTCATTTCTTTATTGGACATTACAGCAAACTTGACGTGTTGACAAAAATGGCGCCATTAAAGGTTCTTTAAAGTGTCTGAAATAGTTAAGGGCATAACTCATATATCTCCCTGATGTTTTCAATTATAGAAATGTTCTGTGACTAACACTTTTTGTATGAATAAAAATGTAAATTAAAATATAAAAATTAATACAAATTAGTACATAATTAAAAATAAAAAAATACTAACAATACAAGTTCGTTTTTGCTGATTATTATAAGCAAAATAAAAACCTAATTACAAAAAAATACTTTTAACTATACAGAGGTCTTTATTTTTATGACCGGCCAGTCTTTGTTTTCTTTTTTTACATAAAATAAACTTAATGGGTGCGTTTAGCAGAAAAAATCGCTAGGAAGCGCTTGTAAGCAAAATGGCGATACTAAACAGTTTTCGGCCAGGACTCGTTTGCTAACTTCAGTAGCGCTGACACAATCCGCCATTTTTCTTATTTACTTTGTTTGTTTTGAAGTAGAGTTTATAAGTTGTTTTGTGCAATATTAGTTTCAAGTAATATAATGACATGAATAAACGTATTATACATGTTATTAAAAATTCATGATTGGTAAGTTTTTAATATGAATACTTTACAAACATATATTTAAATAGGGTTATGTGGATTGGGCTTACAATTCGGTCGCCTGAATTTGAAGATTATGTTACTGTGGAGGGGGGGGGGGACAATGGGGGTTTATCTGAAGCACCCCCACTCGATTTTTGCTGCCGGAGCAGCGTCGAAGTATTTTTAATTATTTTATAAAAATATTGGTAAATGACTAATTAATTACGTTTTTGACGTTTTTTCTGACAATGTCATAGCGATATATAGTACTGAATCGATCTAGTGAATTGATATTTCACCCTAGAGAATCGAGATCGAATCTTTTTCTGTTTTATTAAAATTTGTAAAATTATTTAAAATTAGTTGAATGTATCCCAATTCGTAAAGAATCACAGTTTTTAATGCAATCGTTCAATGTTATCTGTACTTTATTGTATCTTTTGATATTGTAAATATAAACTTTTAACGCAAATTAAAAAAAAGATCGATTTTTGCGAAATCGATCTTGAAGATTTCGATTTTTTATGAACCGATTCATCCAATTTCGATTTGAATTGATTTAAAAATGTGTAAAAATAATCGCTAGGCCGGCCATTTTGTTGATAGCTTTTCGTCATGCTGTTGCTTCCGAGTATCAGAATTTTGGTGAATAGTGGAATATTTGTGGCGGCGGAATACTGCTAAATATCGCAAAGATCCTTTCCTACAAATGGTGGCAGCCATAAATTATGTTTATAAATTAAAGTAGTTATAAAAGTTAATATTTTGGTGTTATATTGAGTGCAATAGCGAGCGAAGCGAGCCTGGGACCTAGGGCACCCCGACTCGGACAGGTTAGGTTAGAAGGGAATGACGGGGTCGAGTAAGCGAGCGAAGCGAGTGAATAGAATCCGTAATCCTCTTCGTGGTTATTTTTTTGTAAACTACTCAGAAGTAGGTCGACCGGTCTTCCCTCGAATGCACCACGTTAAGTGGCGTGGGGCATCCGTACCCCAACTCTCTCTTCCCATAAATCAGGTTAAAATTGTCATAAAAATTACGAAACATAACCTCAAAATGAGATTTTTAAAAATTTATAAAAAAAAATTGAGCACGTCCGGTAGGAAGGGGAAGTAGGGGGTGACTCTACAACCCCTCCTCCCCCACCCCCCATACCACCCCCACCTCCTAATTCAGGCGACCGGATTGTAAACCTTACCCGGTTAGGTTCCCCGGTTAAAGCTAACTTCGTGTCCTAGAGGAAAATAGCTTCTTACGATTTGACAGCGCTTACCGCTTACGATCGCCATTTTGCTTACAAGCGCTTCCTAGCGCTTTTTTCTGCCAAACGCAGCCATTGTAAACGAAGGTCTCAGTAAACTGGCTTGGTAACTCAAAATGAATTAAGGGAGCACACGTGGCTGATCAGACTTACATACGGTTTCTTCATGATGTTTTCCTTCACCGCCGAGCACGTGGTAAATCAACAGTTAAAATTGCAATTAACAATTTTATATCATGATGGCTCGATCACCGTGGCATTTTAGTCGTGCTAGGAGATAACGAGGAATTCAAAAATGATATTGTTTTTAATTACAAAACATTTATTATTATGGTTGATATTAATTTACCTATTTATTTTTTAAGAATAAGAGTAATAAACGAGCACAGTCCTGATGGTAAATGGATACTGTGATCCATAGACATCTACATCTATTTTCAATCTACACTACCAATAAATAAAATTGAAGTGTCTGTGTGTAACGTCAAAATAACAATTTTTTACTTAATTCATATGAAAGCATATATACTTACACTACAGTACTAATAACAAAAAATATTTAAAATGTCTGTTTATCCATCTGTCTGTCGGTTTGTTCCGGCTAATCTCCGAAATGGCTGGACTGGTCTTGATGGGACTTTCACTGGCAGATAGCTGATGTTATAACGAGTAATTGAGACTTACTTTTATTTTAGAAAAACACTTAGAGTTCTGCGCAAAACAAAAACCTATAAAATTCAATCGTAATAAATTCAACGCGGGCGAAGTCGCGGGGAACAGCTAGTTAAGAATACAAATGACTATTCATTGTCACCCCTGAGGAACAAGGATTAAGATGGAATGCCTCGTTTCCAGTAAAAGGCGTCTCTGGTTGTCTAGAATTTAGATACCTCAGCGTGGTTCTTACCCGGCCGACCTATTCGCGCTGCAGCTACAATAATATCTACAGTGTGGGTCTCATATACTATTGTATCTCATTTACATACAATATGAATGTATTATAAGAATATAATATTATAAAAAAATTTTGTTAACCGGCAACCTGCTCCTGTCACCCATATTAACCACTTTACAAGGAATTACTAACAGATTATCCTATTGAGTAAGGAACAAACATAGTGGTGCATCCGCCTATTACCCTTTCATTGACCGGGTGGTCAATGAAAAGAGATGATACATCTTATGGAATACATTGTCTTAATGAAGTTAATACACTTACGCTCACCAGATGTCGCTAGTTTTTTTTTATAGAATAAGGGTGACAAATGAGCACACAGTCACCCTGATGGTAAGTGGATACTATGGCCCGTAGACAACTTTCATCATCATTTTCATAGCATTTATACTCGATTAATAATCAAAACGCAGATGTGTTGTCACCCCTGAGGACTAAGATGGAATGCCTAGTTCCCAGTAAAAAAGGGTCTCCGGATCTCTACGCTCACCATACGAAACACAGTACAGTATTAAGCTGCTATTTTACGCTGGTATTCTGTGAGAGTGTGGTCCTACCCCGGTCGAGCCGACCCATTCGTGCTACAACAATAATATAGCTGCAACACCGAAGGTCACACAGTGTCATAGTCGTTGAAATTTTTCGATTTCTAGTGTATGTGTTATGTGTATACAAAAACCATGTCTTAGTGATTCTTTTACTCTCTAATTTTTTACATATTTTAAAATTTTTATTCTTAATTTTATTAAATATCCATAATTTGGTTTATCCATTTTTAATTAAATTAATATAAAATATAATCAATATTTCATCATATATGTATTTCGCTATGAAATCTGTCAAATAGTTCACCTCATTTTTAAGTTGCGCTGCCCTGGTGGCGGAGAAAGCCGTGGATGCATCTTTTTTTTACTTTTTCAGTCCCGCAAGGATTTATTTCGTGCCAGAATTACATACTATCCACGTCGATACAGCCTAACACATCAATTGCCCCACAAAATCATTAAAAATATATAAATTTCCGAAAATTGGAAAATAAACACTGAAAACAAAAAAATCTATTCGAAAATTCGGATCGGTCTAGACCTGATACGTTACACGAGCTTAAGTTTTTAAATACATTCTATAATATATCCATCTAATTACAAATACTACCGAGATAATTCAGTCCCGTAATTTGGAGTCTGTTATTTACCTTACGCGAAAAATTACTGGATGAGTTTATAGGTTGTATAGATATTTTTAAGACATTGATTCAATTAACTTTAATTTCGTTTAACATAATCCTGCACAGCAGATAAAAAATAAATATTTTTCTTTTATATTTTACTCAAGTCAAGATGATTTCGCTAAATTGTTGTGCTTCGCATCACGTAGCCTTTAAATTAATTTCAATATGCTTTAATACTCATTAGTACATCAAACCCGTATTAATAAGTAACTTTGTCGAGTTAACTCCGTAAAAAGACTAAAACGTCAGAGCACCTCGCATAGGCGTTTTGTAAAAGCCACATCCACATACATCTAGAAAATAATCACTTTAAAAGATAACATGAAATAAATATAAAAGTAGTTGGCGTGTTGTCGACCAGCTCAGTGTTCATTCGGGCGCGGATGGTCACAATGACCATGACTTTGAAATATCTCTTAGTTTTTTGTGCCTTAATCTGTGTTAATGTCAACGCCAAGTCATCATGTATGTTTACATTTTTCTATATGCAAGCAAAAACAACTACGTAATTTACTTTTAATTGTGTATATTATTTTTCGATCTGGCCAGCTATAAATATCAATCTTTTCTTTTATTGAGTTAGTGTGATTTCAAAATGGGAACACTGTTAAAAACAAAAACAAAAAAGTAATACTTTAATATGCTAATACCACAGCTATTATATTTTGCAAAGATTTTGAACCACGGCACAGAATACATAAATAGTACTACGACTACGGACAGGTTTAGTTTGTAGACGTTGGCGACCATTTAAAAAGTTTTACTCATTGCCTTGAGCAATCTGGTAACCTTTGGCAGTTGATGCTTATTTTATTATGTATATTATAGTGAAATTTCGTCGATGTTTGTAAAATATTTAATATTTTTATTTTTATTACATACATATATATTTATTATTACTTATCACATATTTATTATTAGTACTTCCTTTTCTACTTGATAGA